TGTGTGTGTGTGTGTGTGTGTGTGTGTGTGTGTGTGTGTGTGTGTGTGTGTGTGGCGCTTTAATGTTTTACCCCTTCCTGTTGTCCTACAGGTTGCGTCTGGCACGGATGAACGAGGAGATGCGCGAGGCCGAGGGTCCGTTGGGTCAGCCAGGTCAATACCCCAGCAGCAGCCCCACTGAGCAGCAGTACAGGAAGTGCATCCAAGAATTTATCTGCCTCAACATAGATGAGAGCTAGTGCTCACTTCCACACCTGGGAGAAAAGCTCTGTTTATAAATCTGCTCCTCCTGATGGGGAAACTTGATTGTGATGAAGTTGCCCCCTAGACGCTGATCTCGAGCCTGTTTRCTCGTGTAGATCTGGGCTAAAGGGCAACTTCATACAAACTGGACGTTTTTTAAAGGGGGTGGAAAGTTACTGTGAGGCTAGGTGAGGTGTGTCAAAGGGAGACCCCTGATTTCCAACTCCACTGACGATACAGACACCACCTCAGTTTTTCTGCTTGTTATATTACTGAGCACATGACATACACACACACACAGTAAAACTACACCTGCTTTTTGGTGTTTCGCTAACAGGGTTTTCTTCTAACTTAAAGCAGTGGTTCAGATCTTTTGAACTGGGCTTCTTTGGTGAGGTTATGAACAAAAAATATCTCACCTGTCATAGATGGTTTTTTGAACGGCCTCAGTTTGACATTTATTTTTTTAAAACTTTATTTATTTTTAATTCTTAGACTTTTAACTGATTAGATTCATCAGGTTTCATGGATAATTATAACTGAGTATCATCAGCATAATAATTCTGATTGAACTGACGAGTTAAGAGATAGTTCTATTGGGGGCAAAGACCAGCATGGGTTTCTGCTCCTAAAACGGTTCCAATTTTAAAAATGTCATCAACTCCTGAATGCTACGTTAGAAATGTTTACACTGCCGTGATTTTTGCATTACATTGTTTACATAGAGTTCTATGGCTCAAACTCTATCCAAACAAAAGCTATTAAAAGAGCTATCTACACCAGGTAAGATACTGACAACCTTTCCACAGAACCGCTTCAGACGATCTGAGCTATCCCTTTAACATAATGTGGTGTAACCCCCAGCATGAGTGCTTGGGTTTATTTTTAGCTAACAGCTCTTAACCTCTGAAGAATCTCACTGCATTAACCCTCTTTACACTTTCTATCTATCCAGACCATCTGTGTGACATCCAGCTTACCCATCTCTTCTCGACCAGAGATGTAAATATTACATATTTAGAAGACTAGAAACTGTGTACTGTGGCATGAGGTGAACAACTGGTATCTGTTCCATTACTAAAAGAAAAAAAAACTAACTGACAAGCTGTAACGAAGGTGGAGGGGTAGTTTACTGTGACAAAAAGAAAAAAATAAAATAAAAATGAAAGGCTTGTGGGAAAAATCCCTTGCCTGTGTAAGATACGCTGTGATGTGATGAATGAGTGAAAGGCGGAGGAAATGAGTGTTGAATACTGTGAGAAAGAGGTAAATAATGAGGTTTGTTACATTGTGTAAAGAAACAAACAAAAAAAGAAGCTGTGCACTTTTCCATTTACAGTATTATGATTTTGTTTGTTTGACATTGTTCTTGTCTAGATTGTCTGTTTGTGTGTCGATTTTATTTATCAATCCAGAGGACCAGTGCAATGCATTATTTGATGCAGTTCTTTTCTGCATACATGTTGATTGTCGTTTCAATCCCAAAGCATTACTTTAGGAAGCAGGAAGGATTTGGATGTTGTAATGTTTTGCAGCCATAAACGATATGGAATAGCCTTAGATTGCTGTGAGTGCATATATAT